CAATAGAACCTATTATAAATATGTTTTAAAAACCAAAGGAAATTATCTTTTAAAAAATAAAGGAAGGTATGATAATAATTACTTGTGAAGTCGAGAATGTTCATAAAGAGATGAAAATTATTTTTAAAAATCAAATGAAGATTCTGTGGTTGAAAAGTATAATAAAAAGGGAAGGAGCAGAGAGAAAAAAATATTCAGAGATAATGCCTGAAAACTTCCCAAATCTGATTTTTAATAAACACTAATCCACAAAGTTCAAGTAGGATAAATGCGAAGAGATCAACACCCAGACACATTATAGTCGGAATGCTGAAAGCCGAAGATAGAGAAAATCTTGAAAAACAAGAGAAAAAACTATTCTGATACAAGTATTAACAATAAGATTAATATCTGGTTTCTCTTCACAAACGATGAAGACCAGATAGCAGTGGGACAACATACACAAAGGGCTAAAAGAAAAATCCTTTATCAGGCCAAGCTATCAATGAAAAATGAAAGTAAAATAAAGACTTTACAAATTAAACAAAAACTAACTGAATTATTTGCTCACTGACTTTCCTTACGAGAAATCCTAAAGGAAGTTCTTCAAGCAGAAAAGAAAGAACCCCTGACGGTAATTTGAGTCCAAATGAAAAATGCCAAGAATTCCAGTAAAGGCAACTATGTAGGCAGCAATAAAAGACAGCGCACTTACCAATTTGTTTTTATTCTTTCCTTCACTGATTAAAAAGCAATTGCATAAAGCAATATCTATAAAATTATACTGTTGGGCCTATAACATACAGCTACGTTAATATACTTGACAATAACATCACAAAGGAAAGTGATGACAATGAAGCTATACTGGAAAAAAGGAAATGACACCGCATGGTAACACAAATCCATCCTCAGAAATGACAGTAAGATGATTAAGTTTTGGGGTATTTTTTTTTCCCCAGAGAGTGGAAGAGGGAGAGGGGGAGTGGGAGAGAGAGAAAGAGGAAACTCCCATGTGAGAGACACACGTTGACTGGTTGCCTCCTACACTCGCTCCAACAGGGCCGGGGGTCGGCCCTGCAACCGAGGTATGTGCCATGCCCTTGGCGGGGCTCAAACCCGGGACCCCCAGTCCAAGGGCTGCTTTTCTAACCACTGAGCCAAACCAGATGATTAACTTTTTTACTCCATAAATAGATTTGTGCTCTTTTTTCCCCTTTGCTTCTTTACAATACCTGAGATTCTATGTAACGATAATTATAACAATGTATCGCTGAGTTTATAACATACATAGATATAACATGTATGAAACAAGAATGTCACAAAAGAGGGAGGAAAGGGAGCTATATAGAAATAAAGTTTCTATATTTTTTTTTTTTTCTGGAATTAAGTTCGTAACGTCTTAAGAAGTAGATGCAAATAAGTTAATGTGTATATTGTAAATTCTAGAGCAATTTTAAGTTTTATAGCAACCAGTGGGAAAACAACAAACAAAAAGCCAGTTTAAAAGCGTGAAAGGTAATCCAGCCAGAGCGGCTCAGTTGCCTGAGCATCGTCCTGTGCACTGAAAGGTTGCGGGTTCGACTCCCAGTCGGGGCAGATACCTGGGTTATGGGGTTCGATCCCTGGTTGGGGTACTTATGGGAGGCAGCAAATCAATGTTTCTCTCTCTCTCTCTCCCCCTTCCCCTCTCGAAACATGTCCTCAGGTGAGGATTGTAAAATAATTTTTTCTTTTCAGTATTAAAGGTAGAATGGTAAGTTAGAAAATATCCACTTAAGAGGAAAGGAAATAGTAATGGACGAACAGAGGGACAAAGTAACCAGGAGACATAAAAAACAAGGAGCACAGTGGCAGATATAAATCTAATTGTCTCAATAATATCATTATTCATCCACGGCTTAAACAATCTAATCAAAAGTCAGAGATTAAAAGATACACATTAGATCCAAAGACACAAAGTGGCTGAAAATGAAGGGTGAACAAGCCCCGCCACGCGTATGGCAACTGTGTGAGGGCCCTGAGCTTACCTTTCACCAAGAATCACCTAACAGCTCCCCTCTGCGTTTAAGCTCTCACGCATCCTGTTGGCTGGTGTATATTTATATATATATGTGTATATATAAAAGACTCAAGTCAGAAGCTTTAGCTTAAAAAGGAAGAAGAAAGTAGACGTGATCATCAAACGTGAAAACTGGGTTGACGCTTAGAAAACTATGAGAAAGTCAGTTTCCACTAACGTCTGGGTGTGCCTCTGCGTGTCACCCTCTGCCCAGGCACACGGTGGCCGCATGGGCAGGAACCTGAGAACCAGGAAGCGAGAACTCTGGATGACCAGCCTCCGCCGGTTGGCTTCAGCCCACCCCCAGGGGGTAGAGGCACCGGGCTCACAGCTCAGCCTGCGCCCGGCGGCTGACTGGCTCCCCACGCCCTGCGGAGGCCTGAGCGCACCCACCGGGAGCCTGTCTTTTAGTCAAACCAACGCCGGGGGTAAGGACGGGCCTTCCTGCTGTACACTTCCGTGGCCTGGCACTGCCAACGGGCACCGGGGCGGAGGGAACGCGTGGGCCAAGTGTACAGGTGCACTGGAGGCAAAGGGTCAGGTAGGGCAGAGTTTTGCCTTGACGGGTCTACCGAGAAAATGCCTGGAGAGCCCACGTGAGCGCCGAAGGGCAGGGTGTGCGGGGGAGCGGCTCAGGCTGAGTGGGTCCGGGGAGGCTTCTCTCCTCTCCTCGCGCGGCTCATCCCCTGGGCTGTGCCACGTGGCGGGGTGGGCCCCGTGGGACAGAGGAAGCCCGTCAGAGGCCGGGATTGCTCTCAGCTGCTCAGAAACACGTCCGTGCCTTCCTCGCCTTCCTGGGGAAGGCGGTTTGAGCACTTACTGGTGCGCACCTGGGCGAGGGCCAAGGCCTTGGGCCAGCCTCGGAAGCGGTGCGCGCAGAGGAGCGGGCGCGGCCGGGCGTGGGCAGTGGACCCTGCAGAGCCCCGCCTGCCGCACCTGCCCCCCACTCCCTGGACGACCTGCCTCCCTGCGCCTGTTCAGCGACCCGTGAGCAGCGTTTCTAAAGCTGATCGCCTGCTGCTGCTCGGAATTTTCTGTTTCCTGCAACAATGAGCCTCCCGGTCCCCAAGCCAGAGGATCACTCCCCGGTTCCCACCAAGCCACTCACTCCCAGAGGCCATCTCCTTGAGTGTGAGGCGGGGCAGCTCCAGGAGGGGCTGTGAGGTCGGCTCGAGGGCAGGGGAGGCACCTCTCGGTGCCGGCTCCGAGCTCGCCCACAGACGGGCAGGTCACGGCCCGGCTCACGCCCGGGGCGAGGAGGCTGAAGGGAAGGCCGGCGCCTGCTCCCCAACAGCGTCTTCGCCATAACCCCACGCACGCGGTCGATGCCTCGCTCTTCCCATCTATAGGTGAGGCGGGAAGTTGAAGGAACACGTCCAAGGTCACGGGAGGAAGGCAGCCGAACACGGAACTGGAAAGTTCACCAAGTGCTCCTTCTGGGCGCCAGGCTCTGACAGGCTCACTGTGTACAGAGCTTTGTTCGTTTAAAACCACTGCCGTGGCAACTTCCCCAGTCCCTCCCCCATGCCCTTAAGTCAGTGGTTCTCAACCAGGGCACGCAGCGGAATCACCGGGGAGCGGACAAGCCGCCCGCACCTGGAGACGTGCCCGTCCCCCGAGATTCTGGTTTAATTGGCCGGGGCACCACCCGGGCGTCAGGATGTTTTCAAGCTTCCCGGGTGACTCCTGAGAACTGCTGCCCTAAATACTCAGGATGGTCTTTTAGGGAAAGGTTTCTAGGGGGCCTGGAACCTAAGGGGTCCCCTGATTTTCCTCATGGAACTCACACGTGTGTGGAGGCCTCGAAAGGCTGTCCCAGCCCGAGCACTTGTCCGGGGTCCCCCAGGGCGTGGAACCTGGTGAAAGTGAGGCTCCTTCCATCTAATGCCTGTTTGTCTCTCATAAAGCTTTACACTCAGAAGCTGGCTGCGGAGACAAAGAAAAGGAAGGGGAACTTGTTTGGACAAAAGGAGTTTTCCTTCGAGCCACGCCAGCCTGGGAACCTCGATAAGCAGCCGGGGGCCCCTCCTTCCCCTGGCAGACACCTATAGGCTGGGCGGGGCTCCCCCGGCGGCTCCATGAGGACGGCGGGCGGGCACTGCCTGGCCAGCACACCCAAGCCGGTCACCTCGCCGCCGTCCCGGTCGGGGCGCCGGGACATGCAGCAGTGTCCCGAGGGCCTGCGCCGCCATGAGGTCCTGCCTGTGGAGACTCGGCCGCCTGGGCCACGCTGTCCGCTGGCTCCTGCTCGCGGCCGGCTTGGTTTTCTTCCTGCTCACTCTGTCCTCCTACTTGAGGGAGCCGAGTACGCAACCCAGCAGGTGAGATCCTGACCTTCTCCAAGCCCGTCATCATCTGTTAGAGGAAACTGAAACCCGAGGGAGGAGCGGGGAACTCGGACACCCCCGTGTCCACACGGGGCGTCGGGGACCAGGAACGCTGTCCAGGGGAAGCCTGGGGTGTGTGGAGGTGGTGGGGCGGGGAGACCAAGGTGCCCCCGATGCCACAGGGCGTGCAGGCGGGAGTCTGAGGCCCACAGGACTGGGTCTCCAGACGGCAGGGACAGAAAACAAGGCTATTGCCCCCCCGGGACTGTGAGTTATCAGGGCAGCTTTGGGGTTACTTCTTACCTGCCCTTCTCCGTGTCCCGGAGCAAAAGACTCATCCAGTGTTTTCCGTTCATTTCAAAGTCACACTGTCCCTAAGGAGCTTGTCACTCAGGCAGCTCGAACGGGGCCCCACGGTAATCCTTCCAAAGGACCTTCCGGACCAGCTTCCTTGTAGGACAAACATCTCCGGCAGCAGGAGACCCTGCTCTTTCTAGACGCAATTTTAAAAATCCTGTTTCACTCTTCTTAAAATTTGAAAGCAATGCGTGTTCTTGTGAAGGTGGTTGTTTTTAATTCTCCCCCCAGGATATTTTTCCCCCCATTGCTTTTCAGAGAGAGTGGAAGGGGGGGAGAGAGAGAGAGAGAAACATCGATGTGAGAGAGACTCATCGATTAGCTGCCTCCTGCACGGGCCCTGACCGGGGCTGAGACCAAGCCCACAACCAAGCTACGCGTGCCCTTGGCTAGAATCAAACCCAGGACCCTTACAGTCCACAGGCCGATGCTCTAACCACTGAGCCAAACCCGCTAGGGCTCTCATGACTGTTAAAAAATAAGTACAGAAAGCGGAGGCGAGAAGGGAGGGTCGCTCTACTACACCCCATTTCTACCCACTCTTCTGGGGTGACCGCTCTTACTACCTGGGTGTACGTGTAACTATTATATTACTGTGGCTGACACTTCCGTAGCATTCACTAGGTGCCGGGCAGTATCCTAATTGCTTTCTGGGCATTAACTCGCTCGTTCTGATGGTTACGAGTATCCCGACGCGCACACAGCTGACGCGAGTCGCCCCGTCCACCCTGCCAGCGCGGTGCAGGGCCAGCGTTCAGGCCCAGCGCTTTGGGCCTAACCCTTCTTTTTCATGGCTGTATAGTATTCCAAAGAATGGACGTAATTTATTTAATTCCTATCGACTGACGCTTGGGTTGTCACTCATTTTCTACATGCCTTTGTGTGCTTACGTTAAGTATTTCTGTAGCTAGATTTTTAGAAGTGGAACTGCCAAGACAATGGCTATGTTCACATTAAATATCGACGAGACCGTCAAACCGTCCTCTGAAAAGGCTCCATCGACAGGTGTGAGAGTGAACCTCTGTTCTCTGTGGCAACACTGAATATCATTACTGTTGAAGTTTAATCCTCTGATAGGTAATTTTTTAAAGTTCATTTTTTTTTAAATACATCTTTATTGATTTCAGAGAGGAAGGGAGAGGGAGAGAGAGAGAGAAACATCACTGATGAGAGTCATTGATCGGCTGCGTCCCGCACGCCCCCCGCTGGGGGTGGAGCCGGCATCCCAGGCATAGGTCCACGCTCAGCCACTGAGTCATGCCGGCCGGCCAACAAGTAACTTTTATGTAGATAAAATCTGTCTTTTCTTTATGGCCACTGGACCTTGCTCAGCAGTTAGGAAACTGCACAAAGTCTAGTGGCCATAGACTGTCCCAGTCCAAAATTATATAAATTGTCTTCTATGTTTTCTACTACTATTTTATGCTTTTGTTACTTAAGCTTAAATAGTTATTCTATCTGAAATTTATTTTTGTGTAGGTGTAAATATGGGTTTGTATACGTTGGAAATCTTTTGATTGCAAATGACCAAAACTCAACTCAATCTAGTTTAAATAAGAAGATAAGGGGGGGAGAGAAGCTCAGAGGAGTACAGTTTTGGGCGGGATCCTTTGGGAGTGGGAGCGAGTTGCAGGAGAAACGGCCGTGATCTGGGCACTTGATCTCCCTCCCTGCCAATGTTTCATGTCGGGGGGTTGAAGGGAGCTGCAAGTAGCCTGGTGCCTGTTTCTGACCTAGAGATTTCTAAAGGCGGAAGGTGGCTGGAGTTGGCCGTGGCACAGTGTACCTGGAAGAAGGCCAGTGCCATCCTGCCCGCCCCGGGGTCTTCACGCCCAGGATGCTGTGGAGGGAGCTCAGTGCATTCCCTGGGCCACGGAGGGATCAGAGCCCCAGAACGGTCCGGTTACCTGTTGGGGCCAAGGAGCGGGACACCCAATCCAGAAAAGTGTTTGGGGACACAGAATGCCGTTGGGGCAGAGAGCCTGCCCCAGGAAAAGCACATTCACTGACCCTGCAGAGAGCACTGTAGTGAGCATCAGACAGAAGCCCACGGAACTTCAGTGGGAGCTGGGACACTGCACGACCCCCCCTCTACCCCTACCCTGCCCCAGACGTCATGCCAGGAGAGCTAGGCTTTCAGAGGGAAGGGACCGTGTCCTCACCGTCTGAGCGTGATTCTCGCTGCCCCCTTCCAGCTTCCCCAACCTCTCACCCACCAGAGCCAGGGTCTTAGCTCCGGCCTGGCTGGGAGGTGGGGGGCATGGGTAGGAAAAGAGCTTTGAACCGGATAAGACATCTGGAGGTTTAAACTGGATTAGACTGACTTGGGGGCTTTAAAACAAAAACAAAAACCTTTCCTGTAACAGCACCCAGATCTTTCTACTAAACAGTGGAAGGGAGAGAGGGAGGGGGAGAGAGTCTCAAAGAGAGAGAGAAACTTCGGTGTGAGAGACACATCAACAGGTTGCCTCCTGCACCTGACCAGGGGCAGGGAGCAAACCTGCAACCCAGGTACGTGCCCTTGACCTGGAATCAAACCCGCAACCCTTCAGTGCGCAGGCAGACGCTCTAACCATTGAGCCACACCGGCCAGGGCCATTACCCCCCCCTCCCCTTTACAGATAAAAGAGGTTAGGCAACCTGTCCAAGGTCACCTGGTCACTAAGTTCAAACCCAGGAGGGCTAGCCCCAGTGTCCATGCACTCAGCCGAGACCCCAGGCTGGCACCACACCACCCTCTGAACAAGAAGCTCTTAATAGAAAAAAGATCCCCCACCTGTCCCCCCACCGCAGCCCAGCCCATGATGCATAAATGTACTCAGCATGTGGATGGAAGCAATTTAAATATTTGGTAAACACCACACCTGAGAATAGGTATTTCCTGTATAAACACCCACATCCTTAGCAATCACAGGCGTATTTAATTATAGGGAATTGAAATGAAGTGTAATCACACAATTTTGTCTCTACCTGGGTCACTGCTAAGACTTCCTGCAAAAGGTAAATGAGTCAGAGAACTCGTGGCATTTGCAGGCTGAGCAGTCCTGCAGGGGGCGCTGTCCTCTTGCCCCAAGATGGGACTTCGGGGCGGGGTCCTGTGCTGTATTTCTTCAGGGCCCACAGGACCGCCAGGCAGACGGTGCAGCCCACCCGTCTGACGCGTGGAATGTACCAGGCGACCCCGCCTCGTCCCCTCCCCACAGTCACATCAGGTGCCTGAAGCTGGGGAGGAAAACTTCCATCAGCCTCCGGAGGGTTGGGGACAGGGAGGTGGAGCTGAATCCACTGAGAGTCACGGCCCCGTGACAGGAGCTGTGTGCTATGCGGAGTTAACACCTAGGCCTCTGTGTTGCCCTCGGAGCTTAAGCTCAATTATCAGCTTAAAGGGCAATTCAGCGAGTCCCGTCCCCAAGCTCGTGGCACCCAGGTCTTTCTACGAAACAGGCGGCACAGATCAGTGGGGAGCGTGTTCCTTCCACACCAGCTCTGCTTTCCTCAAGCGCTGATTGGGCGGCATTCTTTCAGAATGAATATTTTGGGGGCGCCTGCCAGCTCATGAGCCGATAACCCCTCTGTCTCTTGAGACTGTCCTCCTACGCTCAAGAGTGGACCCCAGGATGTCACGCACCGTGTTACCCAGACCCCTGGCCAGGGTTGGAGAAAGGACCCAAGTGGGTGAGGATCTCTCCCCCCACAATTAGAAGCCGAGAGCATAGAGAGTCAGTAGTCCCCAGAACCGGCGGTATGGGGTGGCCGTCCACCACCACGCGGCTGCAGGGCAGAGGGAAGGAGAGAGGAAGCGGACTTGGGGAGCGGAGGCCGAAACAGAGCCGAGTCCCCGAGACCCCCGGTGCTGGGTCCTTAATGATGCTCAATCATTTCTTGCTCTCTGGTTCTGCAAGACACTTTCTAAAATTTCCACCTAGCCGGTGCGGCTTGATGATTGAGCATCAACCCATGAACCAGGAGGTCAGGGTTCGATTCCCGGTCAGGGCACATGCCCGGGTTGCGGGCTCGATCCCCAGCAGGGGACGTGCAGGAGGCGGCCGAGCAATGACTCTCACCATTGGTGTTTCTCTCTCTGCCTCTTCCTCTCTCTGAAATCAATGAAAAACAAAACAAAAAAAAACAATAAAAATAAATATAAATTTCCTTTTTTTTTTTTTAAGCTGAGTCAAAAATGGAAAATGAAAAAAGAATGAAAGCTGGAAGGCTGTTAGTCTTTCCAGGTGGCTCCACAGTCTGACCCTGTCCCGTGCCTTTTCTTTTCCTGGCCTGAAACATCTCTCCTTCGTCTCTGGAGCCATGTAACAAAGGCAGAGGCATTTTCTACTCAAGGCCCCTTAAAAACTGTGCATGTGCCCAGGAGGAAGGAGCCCTGGGAGGTAAGAAGCAAGGACGCCACTGCCAGCCCTTCGCTGACAACTATAGAGAATTCAGGTCCTCGCTCGGTTGCAAGGTCTCCCTCCCGGAGGACCCCGGCAATTGTGCCTCCTCGGGGCGAGGGGGGCAGGAAATACGGTATCAATGGAGAGGGTTGGCCACACGCAGCAGGGGGGCCGTAAAGGGGGCTGGCGGGGGCCGCCCCGTGTTTCCCCAGCAGTGAAAGGTCTGCCTTTGCGGACGGCAGCTGTGTGTCATGACCCACGGTCTTGCCGTGTTCAAGGGGTGCTCCCAGGACCTCGCCCGGCAGAGCAGACGTTTAGCAGGCGTGTGCCGAGTGACATGTTCTTTCTGACGTACATGCTGCACATGACACTTTGCTTTTGTCCCGTCCACCTCTTTTTGGGACCCGAAAGTCTTTCCAAAGCACCGATAGGATGTGGCCCTGGGAGAGGGCTGCCTCCTCGCCTCGGGGTTTGTCATTTAAGAAAGTGATGACTCTGCCATTGAGCAAACAGAACCCCAAGAAGAGGACGGATTGGGTGACTTGAGCGGGTTTTTAAGCAGCGTTTGAAGTCGAGCTGTAAGGCAGACCTTTTTCAAGGGTCTTGACCTCAAAATCAAGGTTGGCAGCTCTGGTCTCGACATAAATGTGTCTTCCCGGCTTCCTTTGAACATGGTTACCCTTGTTCCTCTCACTTCATTTAAAAAAAAATAATAATAATAAAGGTCAACTGACTGACGCAGCCACGTAGATATGAGGTGACAGGGCTAGGGCCACACAGGCTCGTTCTTAGAGCTCACAGTCGTGGCTGCAGCAGCGGGGACCATCTCCGCTCTGCTCCCCACAATCCATTCAGCCCCCAAACTCCATGCAACCAGTGAGGTTTCTTTTTTTTTTTTTAAACCCTCACCCGAGGATTTTTTCCCCCATTGCTTTTCAGAGGGGCGGGGAGAGAGAGAGAGAGAGAGAGAAACATCAATGTGAGAGAGAGACATCGATCGGTTTGCCTCCTGCATGGGCCCTGACTGGGGCTGGGGATCGAGCCTGCAACTGAGGTACGTGCCTTTGACCAGGAATCGAACCCAAGACCCTTCAGTCTGCAGGCTGACGCTCTAACCACTGAGCCACACCGGCCAGGGGGAAGCTTACTCTCTGTAATGGGTGGAAACACTTTCCCTTCATGGCTCATGGAGGCTGGTCTGAAGCTTACCTGATGCCCAAGAACAGACACTAGTCGTGCTTCTGACCTGTTTCTACCGTCCTCACACTTTCTCAAACGTTCTCTTTGTCCCCAGGTATCAGGGCATGCCGAACGTTAAAGGAAAGTCATCAGAACTGCTGCAAAAGGCCCCGTCCCTGGCACCCAAGGTGAAGAGGTGGACCACCACCCACGCAGGGTCCGCACGGGGGAACAGCATGCTGGACACCTGCCCTGACGCCACGGGCCACACCGAGGCCAGAGTGCCCAGCACAGCAAGGACAGCAATGCCCAGGGCTCAGAAGAGGAAGGACCCTACACTGGACACGCTGTCCCAGGGAAGTTGGGACAGGGGGGCGGCCTCCAATGGGACAGAGGCACCGTCCCTGCACAGCCAGGGTGCAAGAACCACCAAGGGAAGGAGGGACAAGGGGGCCGCCTCCAATGGGACAGAGGCACCGTCCCTGCACAGCCAGGGTGCAAGAACCACCAAGGAAAGGAAGGACAAGGGGGCCGCCTCCAATGGGACAGAGGCACCGTCCCTGCACAGCCAGGGTGCAAGAACCACCAAGGAAAGGAAGGACAAGGGGGCCGCCTCCAATGGGACAGAGGCACCGTCCCTGCACAGCCAGGGTGCAAGAACCACCAAGGAAAGGAAGGACAAGGGGGCCGCCTCCAATGGGACAGAGGCACCGTCCCTGCACAGCCAGGGTGCAAGAACCACCAAGGAAAGGAAGGACAAGGGGGCCGCCTCCAATGGGACAGAGGCACCGTCCCTGCACAGCCAGGGTGCGAGAACCACCAAGGGAAGGAGGGACAGGGTCGAGAAGCCGACAGCCACCAGGACAGCGCCAGCAGAGCCCTCGGCATCCATCGCAAGGACTCCCACTCCGGAAAGTCGGGCTGAGGTGCTGACCACTCTGGGAGCAGGGCAACCGGGCGGGAAAACGACAGGAGTGGCCACAGCGACAGTCCCGCCCACGAGGCCAGCCCGCGCCGCCCGGAGCTCTGCCCCTTCCCCGAGCCCCACCACCCAGCCGGCCCCAAGGCTGCGGGCCGCGAACTTCAAGTCTGAGCCCAAGTGGGATTTTGAGGAAAAATACAGCTTGGACGTGGGGGGCTTGCAGACGGTGAGTTTTACCGCGGCCCCGACCCTACGCCTCTCTGCTCTGAAGCCCCTCCTGGTCTTCAGCCCATCCCCACCCTGTCCCTCGCCTCCCAGGCTCTGCTCTAGGCTCTGCCTTGTCCCACCGTGTGTGGTCGCCCTGTCATTCTCTACACAGGGGATTCCGTCACTTCCCCTCTCTCCCATTCCTGAGAAAAACACCCACGAGGGCCACACTGGACACATGTATGGTTACACGTAATTGCAACCACGCACTCGGCCCACCGAGCACACACGCGTCCCAGTCTCGGCCATTTCTCCCGCCTACAAAGGCACCTTTCCCTTGAGGGCCAAGAACGCCTGTCCCCTGGGAAGCCTCAGGACCATGGTGGGCCTGCCGAAGGGAGGGGTGAGGCGGCAGAGCTTTGAGGCCCGCCTTCTGCCCCCCACCCCGCCCAGCCCTGGCCCTGGCCCTGGCCCTGACCCTGACCCTGACCCGGCCCCTCCCGGCCTGACCTGCCTGCCCTGCCCTCCTGCCTTTAGAGCTGCCCCGACTCCTTGAAGCTGAGAGCCTCCAAGTCACTCTGGCTCCGGAATCTGTTTCTGCCCAACCTCACGCTCTTCCTGGACTCCAGGCACTTCAACCAGAGCGAGTGGGACCGTCTGGAGCACTTCGCTCCACCCTTCGGCTTCATGGAGCTCAATCACTCCTGTGAGTCCTGGCCCCCGGGAGCCTGGCTGTGCCCTCGGTCTGCCTCTTCCTGGGGGCCACCAGCCCTGGGATAGATGATGGGCCGGGCCCCTGGCCCTCCCAGGGCTCTGAATGGAGGGTCCCCCTTGTCCCAGTGGTGCAGAATGTCGTGACACGCTTCCCTCCAGTGGCCCAGCAGCAGCTGCTCCTGGCCGGCCTCCCTGCTGGGAGCACCCAGTGCGTCAGCTGCGCCGTGGTGGGCAACGGGGGCATCCTGAACAACTCCCGCATGGGCCGAGAGATAGACAGCCATGACCACGTGTTTCGGTGAGCCACCCCTCCCCCGGCTGCCCCCCAACCCGCAGCCTCTCCTGCAAACAGAGACAGGCTCCCCTGAGAGCTGACGGGGTGGTCCGAGCCCCGTCGGGAAGGCGGAATTCCTGGGCTCTCCATAGGGCTGCTGCCTCCCGCCCTCATGGGCTCTGTCTGCTGTTTGTGTCTCTGCACAGGTTGAGTGGGGCTGTCATTAGGGGCTACGAGCAGGACGTGGGTACCCGGACATCTTTCTACGGCTTCACTGCCTTCTCCCTGACTCAGTCACTTTACAAACTGGGCAGCCAGGGGTTCCGGCACGCGCCTCTGGGGAAGGTGAGCAGAGGACCGGGCCCGGCCACACACACTCTGGAGAAGGGAGCGCCCAGCTGAGACAGGGAGGCGAGCATCCCGGCTGGAGCCTGCCGTCGGTGCAGGCTCTGTTCAC